GGGGGGGGGTGACTCTGCTGTAGAGGCGGTTTCTGCAGTAGAGGGTCATTTCAATAGAGAGGGTTCTTGCAGATGATCTGCCGAGGGTTCTGGTAGGAGGAGATTGGCAGAGGGTTCTGGTAGAGCATCTACTCTATATCATTGTCAATCTCTTCTCCTTCCAGAACCCAACCCCTTATTGTGGTAGGAGGCGCTACTCTATATCATTGCCAATCTCTTCTCCTACCAGAACCCAACCCCTTATTCTGGTAGGAGGCTCTACTCTATATCATTGCCAATTTTCCACCCAACCAACCCCTTATTAAGGGTAGAAAATTGGCAGGTAAACCAGTGAGGCTTCATCCCCTCCTCCTCTTCCCCTCCCCTCCTCATTTCCCACCCAACCCCTTATTGAGCCCAGGAAGGCGGAAGATTGGCAGAAACCGATGCGGTTTCTGCCAATCTCCTCCTACCAGCATCTCAACAAGCTGTTAGGAGGAGATTGGCAGGGTTCGCCAGGGCTCATCATCTAGGATTGTTTTTTTTATGATGTCCCGGTACGAATTGTTTACGATGACGCCGAATAGGAATACCAACTTCTTGATGTCGAACAAGGCCATCTGCTGTGTATAGATATGTATCTGGGACTTCTTTCGATTTCTTTGCAGACAAGAATGTTTTGACATCCTGGTTGGTCTTGTCCCGTCGTTTGGCCTGTGTATGTTGGGGCGGTGCTTGCATGTGGGACTTGTCATCTGGGATCTGTTTTGTTTTGTTGCCCCCTGTTCTGTCTGTTTTATTTGGCTGTTCCCTTCCTCTTTTCTTTGCCTCTTTGCCTTTTGGCTGTGTGCAAGTGGGTTGATATGACACATGCGGCTGGGGGTGGGGGCAGCCGCCGCTCAACCTACATCCACGTGGGCGGCCTTGTACGCACGCAAGAGGTTCTGAACAGGGGGAGTCTTGTAAGGAAGAAGATTGAAAATGGATTCATTTTTTCCTGTTTTTCTTTTCTTCTTTTTTTCCTTTTTGTTCGCATTTGCGATATGATACTCTTGTGACTATATATATATTGTCACATAAATATCAGAGCGCTGATTTTTTTTTATTTGCCTATAGAATCATTTACTTGCCTGGCTTTTTTCTTTGTTTTCTCAAATTTTAATGCTTGTGTTCGCATCTTTCTCGTTGGTCCATTCATTGCTCCTGGACCTAAAACAGAACCCCAGCACATGTGTAGTGTCTGCGGCTCTTTCAACAAGGGAATTGTTTTTGGTTCGGTCCATTCGTTGCTCCTGGACCTTTTTTTGCATGCGCATTGGAATGAGCTACAGCAGGATGTTGGTGTTTTTGATTCGCATGTAGACTTCGTGTGCCTTACGGTCTCTTTCCTTGTTACTTGGACGCTTTTTTTTTTTTTTTTCCCCTTTTACTCCGGTTAGAGGCTATGGCGCGAGATTGACTGTTGTGATATCCAAAAAAAAAAAAAAAAAAAAAACATAATTTGGTAGTCAGGAAAAAAAGAAAGTCATCTTTGACTGTTAGTGGTGATGTGATCGACACGTATGTCTTGCTCTCTCTCTCTCTCTCTCTCTTTTACACCACACACACATGGGCTATCTATTCTGAGGTGCGTCAGCCCGCTTGCTTCTATTTTTTATTTTATTTTTTCCCACCCACACCGTACACACATGCCCCATCTATTCTGAGGGGCATCGGTCAGTCCGGTTGCATCAGTCAGTCCGGTTTTGCTTACCACCGACGACCATCAAAACAGATACCAGACGGTGTGGTTTGGTTTTAACTTAGACGGTTGGTTGGTTCTGACTTGGTTGAGTGGTTGATTGGTTGGTCCATCCAGTTCTCGTTCCAGGATCGAAAAGAGAACCATGAGTGCGACTTCGACGGCCCTGCGGCGAATGGCCCAGCAGCAGCGGGCCCGACTTCTTTACCGGAAGACCCTGAAGAACGTTCTCAGCTGGGCGGTCCATCGCGAGATATTTTACCCGGAGGCCGCCAAGGTGAGGGCGGAGTTCGAGCAGAACAGGTTCGAGGAAAATATGGAGCGGGTTGACCGTCTGATAAGCGAAGGCGAGCAGCGGCTGCAAAAGAAGATCCATCCTGATCCCTACATCGTCCCCGTCGAATTCGCCGGCTCGAAGTACAATCGCAATCCTCCGGTTCCTCCAGAGGTCGAGCTGGTTTACGACTTTGGGAAGGAGCAATACTGATTGTTCCTATTCGTTGACGTCAACCCCGGCGAAGTACAATCGCAATCCGCCGGTTCCCCCGGAGGTCGAGTTGGTTTACGACTTTGGGAAAGAGGAGGGACACTGATTGTTCTTATTCGTTGACGTCAACCCTTCTTTCTTGTAGTATGGTCCACATCATGCGAACTTCTTCTTCGCACATTATGGATTTTATCTTTTTTTGGATTTAAGTGGTTTTTTTTTTTTTTTTTTTTTTCCGATTCAAGCTCCCCACTACTTTGATGCCGAGGGTGTGACGATGCGGTCTTATCCGTTGACGTCAACCGCAAATGGGTGGTTTTGAACTGGCTTAGAGATTGCCTGATCATTGTTACATATATATATGACTTTGACTTTGTGCCGATCTCAGGAGACAAAAAGAAAAGAAAGAAAGAAAAAAAAGAAAGAAAAGAAAGAAAGAGTTCTCCCCGCCGGACCACTTTCTCATGTATGTGTTTCAGAGTGATTCCTCCTGTTATGCCTGTTGGTTGGTACAATTTATGTCCTCTTCTCCCTCTCTGCCTACGGTTTACCGGGCAGTTCTATTTGACGATATATATCGTCACAAACAGAACTGCCCGGTAAACCGTAGGCAGAGAGAGAGAAGAGGACAACAAACGAGGGGCTGTGACAAA